CCCCCCCGAACAAATTCAAACAGGGTTCCTTGATCAACTTTCAGGAATTCTTGGTGCAAACAGAGATGTCACCTGTTTGCTTTTCTTTGTATCATCCTCAGGAGGAGGAGGAGGGTCATCCTTGTGGGTACACCACTGAATGACCTTTTTAATATTGCTGCATTAACATTCAGTAGAGGAACTGGGTCATTATCTCCATCATCCATTCCCAAATCTTCCAACATGGTCTTCATTGTCACAGACTGGTAATTTCAACACCAACTTCAAATATATCCATCAGAACTCCGCAATTTAACTGAAGGCATGGCATTTGGTTTCTAAAAGACTGCGGGTCTGAGGCAGCCAAGAGCAGGAAGATGTTTCCACCAGTTGGACAAAGGTGGCATGGAAGAAACCACTGATAATTTTTTTTTTTTTTTTTTTTTTTTTGGGCAGAACTGGAGATTGAACTAAGGCCCCTAATGAACTATTTCCCTGGCCCTGACAAGTTGTTTTTATTATTTTAAAAATTACTAAAATGTTCCACTGGGAACTGTGAATAATATATTGAATTCATGGGAAATGAGGTAATATATGAGGGAGATTTGCACAAAATGATTTCTTTTTAGAAAGTTTAACAAATAGGATTTTAACATGCCTCAATGTATGTGCTCTTGAAGTGTGATACTATTCATGGTTACACATGAATTAATGTCAATTTACTGTGCTATCTTAAAAACGTGATATTCTCAGCAGCTTCTCATTTTTGTGTTGGTCTGCGTTTGCTTTAGAATGCTTTTCTGCCCTTTTTGGTTTTTCTCCTCTTGTGATCAACTGTACTTTCATAAGGTTCTCTGTAGCTACTCTCCCACTAATCTGATGAAGCACTGTGGTCCAAACAGCAGCAAACAGCATCATTAGGAAACGTGGTAAGAATGCAAATTTATGTGCCGTATCCTACACCTACTAAATTAAGAAGCCCTCCAGGTAATAAAAACTAAATGCCATACCCTGAGGTCAAATATCAAACAACAATCCTATTTAAAATGTCAGAACCATCGTTCTTTCTTTCCTTTTTTTTTTTTGGAACTGGGGATTGAATTCGGACTCCTGCGCTTGCCAGGGAAGTGCTCACTCTACTGAGCCATCTCCCCAGTCCCAGAACCATCTTTCTTAAAAACTCTCATATGAGCACACTGCAGTACTGATTTTCATAGTCTATGCCTTGGTGTTTCAAGGAATAATTTGATTGCAACAGAGCTTCCTGAATGTGTCAGAAGCAAATAAAATTAACCCATAAGTTTCTTACTAGGTAATCTCCAGCTACACAAATCTAAACGGAATAAATCATTTTAGTTCATAAATTGAAATTTTAATTTGCTCTATGAATATAAAATATAGTTTTTATAATCACTACTGCAAGTCAATTTTATCAGTTGTAGACCTTAGGACATTGTTAACATTTGCACTACTGTCAAAGTATTTCTCTAAAATCCATTCATTATTCTCTAATAAAATTCTTCATTATTTTAAGATACCAAAAATAGAAGGATCCATCCTGGGAGACTGCTTACATACAGATGTAGGCATTTCTCTTACAACAGCCAAGAATTAGAAAAAGAATTATTAATAATAGTTACTCTAACAACATACAACAAGAATTGAAAATTATACCTTTGTCTGGGTGATTTAAGAGCATAATTCGTCGATGAGCATCTCTTATTTTTCCTTTATTGGCAGTAGGGCTAATTAAAAAAGGAGAAGGTGTCAGTTTGGTCTTCTGGACCACAACAAAAAAAAACTGTACACAAGAGGCAACTAAAGTTTGTAAAAGTGTAATCATAAAAACTGAAAAACTATCTATGGGCTTCTTAGATATAAAATATATTTTCTGAATCAGAAGAAAACTGTTCTTAAAGGCATTCTCATAAGTAGTTGGATTAGATTCATATCTGTGGGGCTGGAGAGATGGCTCAGTGGTCTGAAGTACCTACTTAGAACAAGCTTAGCAAAGCATCAGGGACCGCGGTTCGATCCCCCAGCACCACATGCCAGCCAGCCCCGCCCCCTGGTGGGCTGAGCTGGCCACACACACACACCACACTCTCTCTCTCTCTCTCTCTCTCTCTAATAAATAAATAAATAAATAAAATTTAAAAAAAAAGATTCATATCTGTTACAAATTCCTTTTAACGAAAAGGAAAATACATTTAAATTTGGAAATGAAGGCAGAATTTCACCACAGAAAATGTTTTACTTAGTTACAGAGAACACTGAGCGCTGATAATCTGTTGTCTTTCAATGAATGAGAAAGTGCTCTGTCCTCCTATGTCTTCACATTGGAATTTGAGTAAGTGTACAGACTAATATGTATAAGAATAAAGGAACATCAAGGCCCCATTGATTAAAACTGAAAAGAACAATCTTCTTGGGGATAAAAATCCCTAACAATTCTCAATTTTTAGTTGTAGAAAAACAATATTAGAAATATTTTACCTTACACCTAGTATTAATGCTGCTTCCCGTTTTGTCATTTTGGGTTCAAATCCACCTCTATAATAGCCACCACTGAAGGCCTGAAAGGAAATGTATTGACTTTTATAAAGAAAGAACACAGTTGCTAAAAGAAAATGTGACATCAGTAGAAAAGACATTTCAAAGAATTTCATATGAAATTCCTGTGATATTTCAGTTTTACCTAGTAATCACTAATTTTTTTTCCCCATGGTGAATATAAACTATCTTGGAAACAGGAAGTGTCTCAAAACTAGTTCTTTCAGGAGTGAAGGGAAGGCCATTCCCTCTTAGCCATATTTTAGATAAAAGTTTGGGTTTTTTTTTTTTGTTTTTTTTTTTTTGTTTTTTTTGGTGGAACTGGGGATTGAACTCAGGCCCTTGCTCTGAGCTATTTCCCTGGCCCCTTAGATAAAAGTTTTGATCTTGTATAATAACATATTTAGACAGAAGTATGTCAAGAAGAGAATCTGGAGGTCTTCTGAAGTAAGTAGTTCAAAATGACCACGGAAATAAGGCTTTCTGACCTGTGGAGAAAGTCATGCTACCCTGTTAGGTTACAAATCATCTTGGTAAAGCCTAGCCTAACTTTATCCTCTCACATTAAATTACAGCATTAAAATATTCAACAGGCTTCCAGAGCCAAATTCATTCTTAACTGACTACAAAGAGAGTGGTTACTGTACAAGTGTAATGCTATGCAGGCATCTTAGCGAGTGCCTGGGCTACACACTAAGAATAGATCACCTTAGCTCCCTCTGTGCTTCTAATACACAGCAGATGAGGCAAGGCAAGGGAGTAGAGTGATAATATTGAAGTTAATAGTATGCAAACAGTAAAGTGATACTAACTTTCACAATTCCTCAATTAGTGACACCATGCCCCTTAACTCACATAACATTTGATTTCTTGGTATAGCACCATTCCAAGTTCTGCTGCCTCTTTGTGGAATGCAAAAGAAGGGGCTAAAAGCAATCACTGAACTTCAAGGATGTTTGGAAATTCCCCTAAGTGTGGCTTTAGGCTTTGAACAAGAAAACTAACAAAAATCATAAATCTTACAGATTTGGGTAGACTCTGAAAAACTTGTTTTACTTGAGGCTCCATATGCTTCATGGCTTGTAAAACATAACGGCCTAAAACCAAAAGCAACAGGATAAGTAAAGTAATTCTCAGTCTCACCACTTCATCTCTGCCCCCAAACCATAAACAAACCTGCAAATCCTGCAGCAGCAATGGTCAATCCAACTGCTACAACTGTGCTGGCCTGGTAAAGGGGAAAAATATATTTAGCTCCTTAAATTTCACTGGCCTCGGGTCTACTCTCCCATTCAAATTCAACAGAAGTACAATGAGGTAAACAATTTTTTTTTTGGTACTGGGAATCGAACTCAGGACCTTATGCTTGTTAGGCAGGCGCTGTGCCGCTGAGCTGTAACTCTAGTGAGATCAACAATTTTTAAATTGTTTTTGATCAACAAGTCTGAAACTACCAGAACGTCTATATACGATGCATTATAACCCTATGAGATTATCACTATTGAAGAAGAGGGGCAAGTCAGTTTGCTTATTCTACTGCAGTTAGTTTCATTCCCTCCCTCTGAAAACTTTCACCCCCACGGAAATGAGGTCATATGAAAGGTTAACCAAGAGCACTTAAAATAAGATTTCTGCTACAGGAAGAAAAATGCTTTATAGGTTTCTGCAAAATTGTCACAAGGCCTTTTCAACATCAAATGTGGGGGAGGTTTTCCAGATGCAAACTTCCACTTTCTAGAAAAGAGGCTCAAACATATATCGAGGAAGCAGTGCCTAGGGGTTTCGGTCAGCAACAGCCTGAGAGAAAGGACAGTGCAAAGGAAAGCAATTAGTGTGAGGATGTGTTCGGGAAGGACAGAAAAAAGTGAAAATTAAATGCATATACACCAATCTCCAGATCCATGACAGCCTCTGACCTTCGAGGAACTCAATGGGCACTGTCTTCGCACCCGGGGATCAGGACCAGGGAATGCAGTGCCTCGCTCGGGGGCAGCGTGAGCACACGGAGCTCCACGAGAACTGCGCTGACAGTTTTATGTCCCGGAGGCTGTGAGGCCCTCTTGCCCACAGACGCACTAGGGACCCGACACTCAGCTCCCGTACTCTGAAGGTTAAGGGCTGGAGCGGAGGTCAGCGGAAACGCCAGAAGGCTGCACTCACCATGTTTCGGGCCGGCTCTCCCGCCTTAACTGGGGGTGCGGTTCATCCCAGCCCAAAGGCCATGGCCACGAACTACCTGCCTTTACCAAAAAGCGTCAAAACCACTACCACTATTCCCAAACCTCCCAAGTACACGAGCACTACGAAATACGGCAGCCGTCGTCGCAAAGTAAGCCGAAAACTGTCGTAAAAGGAGACCGAAAAGGAGGAGGTAAGGTCGCGGCAGCGGAGGGAGGCGGAGAACCAGACTTTGGGTTGGTTGAAAGGTGGGCGGGTCGCCTGTTTTTTGGAGTTTAAGGGTGGGGCTTACCTCGGTCGTTTGCTCTTTGCTCCCGGCTTTGTGGATGTGGAAATTCTTGTCAGGAAAGGCCTGCCCCTAGAAGACTGTGGGGAAATAGTTTCGTTTCCTGCGCGCTAGCACCTCGCGCTGCCACTTATTCGTGGGTTTTTAATTGTCGAGAGCAGCGAATGTACTTAGTCATCTTGTGACACATTTCCTCTGTGAAGCCACGGGAACGTGTAGCATCCTCATGTAGCTAAGCCGAGGTTCCAGAAAACCAAACGAATTATTACAATATTAAGGTGTTGCTCAATAGCATTTTTTTTTATTTTATTTAAAAAGAACTGTGTTTAAAGACACAAATGGGCAGGTGAATGTTTGGATTATTTTGTAGAGTGGGATTGCCACTTCATAGACAGTATCTTGATTTTGGGATCTTAACATTCTACCTCTGAAACGAGCTGTACATTTAACTGCTCCGTAGTCTCCCATACAAAATAGGGTTTGAGTTTGACGTTTTAGTGCATCTGTTTCATATATACCTACATAAACACTTGAGAAGAATAATGAAGACGATAATGGAAGTTTTACAACTTGATGATGTTTGGATGACTGGAATAAATTTGGAGTTACCTCCAGTTTGGAAATTACGGAGCATTAAAAATCTGCAGTGCAATTCTGCATTGGTGGGTTGGTTGCTTATTAGATAAATACAGGTATGCGAATATGTTAGCTTTGTTGTTCTCATCTACAAAAATATTTTGCATTTGAAACCTCAAGAACCCTGTTAGCCCTAAGAATTTTATGATGGAATTGTCAACACATTATTTAAGATGACATCTAAAACTTGCGTATTAGTATTGAGTGTACATTTTCCATTTTTAGCCTTTTTTAAAAATCTAAGTTTTACCCAGTAACTACAAAATAAATAATCAAGGGAGGCATTTTTTTTTTTTTTACTTTTATTTGTGGCAGATATTCCACATCCACAACTCTCTCCATTCAAGAGTTCTTTGACATGATACCAATCATAGAATGGAGTTATCTGATTCACCCATCCTTTGAATTGCTCCACAATAGTGTAGGTTGTTATTTTTTGGTCTTTTTGAGAGAGGGTCTTGCTGTGCAGTTCAGGCTGGCCTTGAATTCACTTTGAACTTGGCAACAGTCCTTTTGCCTCAGCCTCTCAAGTGCTGGGATTACAGGTATGCGGCGCCAAACCTGGCAAGAAAGATAGCATAGGTTTTAAACTGGTGTTTAAAACTCCCTATGACCTTGTCAACCTTGGCCACATTCGTCTGGATGGGTGTGTTTTCCTTGGGAATAAATTGGCAAGACCAAACAAAACAACATAGAAATGCTACTTGGGAAAATTCATTGTATACACTTCTTGCTGTGCAAAAACTGTGTTTGCTTGAGGAACAAATTACCATGCAGAAGCCTAGCCTAAAAAAAAACTGCAAGTAGAAAATAATAGCAAGAGATTTTGTCCAGGTGGTGATAGCTGTAATTCTCAAGGTGGATCAAACTGGATGTACAGGCTGGTTCTTTCACTTACTATTTGGATGAGTTGTTTTTGACTCTTGAATTTCTCATTCATAAAACAAGGACATGAAGATTACCTTGTCAAGTTTTTGAGTGCTTAAAGATTGTGCATATTGTGTGCTCTGCAATAATCACTCAGTGTGGGGCCTTATCATGCTGAGGGAAGCCACAGTAAAACTTGGTGTGCAGAGACCTGCCTGATTCTGAGGATGCTGCATTTGTAGATATTAATTTATTTCTCCTTAACAAAGCCTGTAAAAATACCCAGGGACTACTGAATGGATAAATAATTATTCCTTGCTTTCATAACTTCAAAGACATTGTACTAGAATATAGCATTCACAGGTTCCAGGGATTAGATCCTGTATCTTTGGGTGCTGTTACTGAGTTTACTGCAGAGAATAAGAGAAAAAGAAAAAAGAATTAGCAAGCACAAGAATGTGTATTTAGTTTATGCTTCCGAATTTGTTGATTAGTTAAATCATTTCTTGAAGAGAAGTGAGAGGTGAGAGGGAGTAGATACATAAGAGTTTTCTGCTTGCATTTTGATCCTCAAACATTTTTGACCATAATCTTTAGTACTAAGTATATTTTTCATTATGACCTAAGAAAAAATACATACTTGGGAACACTGAGCCTATGCAACTGCACATGCACATTACCGACACACATGCATGGACACCCATAACTTAAATTTGTGTTTTCTAAGATAATATTTGTGTTTACTTCATGAGATAACTGCTGGCCTATTTTATATTTTCCCATTGTTTTTTGAGATAGTATCTCATTATATGACCTTCAGCTTGCACTCCTGGCTGGCTTTGAAGTCCTCCTGTCTCAGCCTCCTGAGTGTTGGGATTACAGGTGTGTGCCTTTCTGCCTGGGTGGCATTTTTATTCTTTTTTTAAATCTAGAAAACCTTTTAAGTTCATGACCCTTTAAGTCATCAAAACATAAAGTTTAGAAAGCATTACTCTGAAAAAATCTATATTTGACATAATGCCAGGCAAATAATGTTTTCTTCTCCTCTAAAAATTATATGCTAGACATTTATTTTACATAGATCATTTCATTTCACCCTGTGAAAGTAATGTTTCTATTCTGCAGACTAGGACAGTTTACTGATGGATTTTGTTTTCCCTGCCAGATGTCCTCTCTCTGCTCCCCTTCTTATACCATGCTGTGTGCCCCAGAGGAACACAAGAGGTTAGGTAGCCTTCTTTAATGAAATGCATCAGTGATCTGTCTTTTGGCTTGATGTTCACTTAGCTGTGTGATCAGCCCATCAGCCTGTAGGAAAAGTGTGAGTTCATGATCTTCATTTCTCCATCTTTCTTTTTGGAGGTTACCTTAGGCTGAGTGAATTTTTCCACTCAAGAAAACAACATCAAAATAAGAAGTAGAAGAAGAAAACAACTTCTGATGCATGTTTGTTTGGGTAGTTGCTTCTAACTCTTGTTTCTTCAGGTCTAAATGTATTCATGACTTCACTGGCCCCTATTTGCCCTGCTGGACACAGGACACTTAACTGTTTATTCCTACTATCTGTTTCCCTCTGTAAAGTGTCTCTGTATTGGTGTCTCCGTTTAGCTGTGTTATTCTTCCTGCTGTGGTCTGAGGG